CAAATATACATAAATTTATTATAATGTAATATTGGTTTAGAATTTAAATGTTACTATTTTTAATAGATTTCCATTACTATTATAAAGTTTTCATGCATTTCAAAAATTTTGTGCGCTTATGTTAGTCTAAATTTACATACCACGAAAACTGAAGCTTTAATATATACTAGTCAAGAAGCACTGTTATGTTCATTAGATACTACAGTTCACTTTCTCTGTAATGAACACTTCCATGTTGTCTCTGATTCTTTTTTTTTTTATAATTAAATTTCTCTCTCTATAATAAACACCTTAGCAAACACAAGTACGTTATCGGAAGAATGAACTGTATATATTATTAATATAGAAATCGTGTAACATAAAATTTTATAGAATGTTATTACTTACATCAAGTGGCTTTATTTACATCAAGTGATTCTATTTACTCAAGGGTTTTTCCTTTAGTCAATCGTCAAAATGTTCCTGGTGAGAAACTAACTTTAGTCAATACTTTAGTTACGTCATCAATGACTAATGTCAAAAGTTTCGTCATACATCATTAGTCAGATATATTTATTTTGGTACAGACTCTGCCTTTAATTTGTTGCAGTTTTTAGAAATCATTTACCGTGTATCCCATAAATAAATTTTATATAAAAAAATTAGAATTGATTTTTTTTTCTATTTTAGAATTAATACTGTATTAACAACTTCTTGTGCTTGCTTACTCCCTTGGTATAAAACTCTTTTTGCTCATTGTGAATATCTTCATTAGGCAGTGAAATTTCAAATCGATGGTTAAACAAAAATATCAGAAAAATTGAAATTTATGATTCACATTAATTGGCTTTATTATTTGATCCAGAGATGTAGCAGTTGAAAATCTGGAAAAAACAAAAAAGATATCAGCATGATATCCTTTCATCCCCAACTTGCTAGTAATAAAAATAGTGCTGATTATGGTTTACATAAAGAAGTTATATAAGATCCGTTAAAAAAAAAAAGATTTAATATTGGTTTAGTAGATTTTGCGGCTCGATGATGGTGAAACTGAAAAAAAAATGAAATTGATCAATATTTGTTTAATGAATTGAATTTAGATATTTTAGAATGATGGAAACCCCATCCAAATGAATATCCAAAACTAACAATATCATGTTCCTATTATTTATCAATTCCCGCCTCAAGTACAGTCTGTAAATGGGATTTCAGTGCAGCCGGTTAACAATAAATGAACATTGATTCAAATTTAATCTAGAAACAGTTGATAGCATACTCGTCATATGTAGTGCTCTCAAATAACAATTATACTTTATTTTGTGCATTTAATTAAATAAAAAACCATTTTCTATAATCTGGGTTTGGTTGGTATAATAATAAAATTTTGATACCATGCGAGTATCGGTTTCAATTATTATTACCCACGCAGGCCTCTAGTCAGGAATAGTTGGAAAGCAGTCATTAAAAATAATAATATTAATTTAGTTAATAACTATATATTAATATATATATTGAAATTCACGCGTGTGAACCTAAATTAGCCAATCAAAATTTTGTATCAAACACTCCACCCCCAAAAATTTTTAATTATAAATTTCAAATTCACACGATTCAACAATATCTAAAATTGCATCATTTTCTTTTCCTTTTACTCTTGATCAAAAAAAAATTTAAAATAAATTTTAGATTGCAAAGTTCCACCACTGCAATTGTCACCAATCTCAAGCAACAAAGGATAATCCAAATGTTGAAGACAGAAACCTCAAAAGTCGAAGGTAGTTAAATTGTCTTTGTATTTGTGTGACCAACTGGCCTGAATATTTTTTCTTTTTTCTTGATTTCCAGCTAAGAAGGCCACCATAATCTGGGTCTTGACGATATTTTTTTCCCCGTACAAAGCCTGTGAGAATTGGCACGAGTCTCGCTGCTTTGTCTCCATGAAACTCGCTAAAGAAGCAATGAAAAAAGAAGCAATGAGCCTATACAAAGACTCTGAAATTATCCAAGAAGCTGATAACAAGTATTTTGAAAGAAGCTCGAGGGAAATACACTTTGGAGAAAGCCGAGATGAATCCGATTATAGAAGAGAGTTTGGCTTCTGTAAAATTGACCCTGTCAAACTGGAAGGCGAAGAAAGCGGTGATGACATGCCATTAAATGACAAGACGAGTGTGATTGAAGAATAAAGTAAGGCATGAATGATCATTTTCTAATTGACAGTTTTATGCCACGACTACATTTGTTGATTATATATTGGCTTTCTTTTTAATATAGATACATACAACTGTGCAGTTATCTTGCTTGATTTTCTTTTTTTTTAGTATTTCTAAAAGATTCTTTGTGGATGAGACAGGGAATCTTGGATTTTATACAACAAAGATAAAAACAAAATTCAAAAATGAATCATTAAAATTAAAAATTGTTACTTTGCTTTAAAAACATCATTTTTTTTTAACTATGTTAGGTTTTAAATTGGTATGCTTATTAGTGACGTTATTTTCCTGCATTTAAATGATACATTTCAGAGGTGTTATACATGATTCCAATTATACATCTTCTTTACAAATTAAAAAATATCACTTATATTCATAGGATGAAAAAAAAATCAAATCGTGTTTGAATTGTTTTTATATAGTGTCTGAGTCTGAAACATACAAATGCGGTCAGCATTAATATGTAGAGCAACTTTTACATGCACATGAACTTGATTTTTTTTTTCGAATTTTGACTTTGAAGCTAACGTAATAGCAATACACAATAATATTATTAATAGAACAAAAATGTGATTGAGCTGTCTTTAGTATATGACTTTGAAACAACATAGGCTGATCAATGTTACTACGTAGAACAGGTTTTGGTACAGATTTTGTAAGTTTTAATTTTGATAAGAATGCCGAAATTCTTTTATTGTCGAGTCACGATAAATAAATCATTAGAGTTTGGTGATGATGAAGTTGTTCTTTAAATAATGCGATTTTCATTTTTCTTATGAGAAAAATTTAAAAAACCCATTAAATGATTTGAAATTTATACACGGACGTGAAACTTAAATTAGCCAATCGGAAATTTTGCATTCAAATGACAAATTTGAAAAAAATTTTGTTATACTCCATTCAAAAAAGAAATCTTCATTCTATTCATTAAAATCACCAAGCCAATTTTATATTTTATATTTTATATAATGTCATATGCTAAACTATTATCATCATTATCACCAGAAAGAAGGGAATTTGTATATATAATTCATCATGGTATGGATGATAATGCTTGGGTTAGTTCTAATATAGAAAGTGGAAAAGATTATTTTTTTTCATTTGTCAAAAAAAACAAGAAGCCTTCTCAAAATGAAAAAGAATATTGCAAGGAACTGTTTACTCATGAGTTTGAATTAAAAAAAAGCAATTTATAAATGGTGCAAACCAAAAGAATGTAACAAGTGCAAATCGACAAGATACTCTGATAGATACTGTGAAAGTTGCATTAGTTTACAATTGCAGAGCACTGCTTTGACATCTGGAAATAACATAATTGATCTTTTTATTCAACAATGTCAAATGAAATCATCCCTGCCAGGATATATTTTAGAATGGATACCTTTTGAGCAATTTGAAGATATAAACAAAGTTAACTGAAGGTGAATTTAGTTCAATTTTTACTGCTGCATGGGCTCTAAATGTTGATTTAACAAATGTATATAAAAATTTCATTAATTACAATATTACTAACGATATTATTTAATCAAAATTGGGTTCTAGTGCTAGTAATTTAATCTCCACTATAATTATTTATCCTTTTATTTTGTCTTTATTTTACTTCTTATAATGATACTGTAAAGTCTGGAAAGATAGCACCCCTACTTTAAAACAATTGAGCGTCAATATAAAAAAAATGTTACACATATGT